GTTGAAAAAACTGAAGGACGACCATCGTGTCTCAAAGAGAGTCAAGAAGTAATATATTACGCAGGATCCTCTCTTGCACAAGGCTAAAGCTTAATTCTCTGTACCGATAATCCTTCCGGTCTTCCATCATGAGCGAGTACCCTCTGTCGTCTCGTTCTCCTGCGCCTGTAATTGCCGTGCTCGAACATTTCGCTGGCGGACGGGTCCAAGGTCCAGTAACTTCCCTTTCCGGCTGTATGACCCTCGCCGTCGTCCGTGCACGTCCGGTCCCGCGGTACCTTCACGAAGCAGTCATTCAGGCTGAGGTTATGCCGTATGCTGTTCTGCCAGCCCTGCCGGTTCTCCCTGTAGTAGGGGAACCTGTCCATGATGAACTTGTAGATGCCGGCAAGCGTCAGCCTTCGCTTCGGCGACGAGTTGATCGCCATCGCGATCAAAGCGATATAGGAGTACGGTGGCTTTTCATGATGCGGCGCGATCTTACAGCTGATCGGCGGTCTCGCCAGGACTGGCCAGGACGCTTGGTTGAGGGCCGGCCAGGCGACGTCGGCACACAGCACCTCCGGGACCAGGCTAGCGAATCCGTTCCACGCACGTTTTATGGGGAACATTTTGTCAATCGGAAAGATGTACCAGTATTCTTGACACCGAGCACGCAGATCGCACGGTTGATCCTTCGCGTCCGCGAAGAGATCATGAACCTGAGGACAACTGCTTTGTTGCATCGAGAATACTTCCTCGAAGAAGGAAAAACGCGTCGTTTGCAAGTTGTCAAAGTGTCAGGGGGCTTTTAATATCACTCCGTGCTTCAATCTGTGTTACCCTTTCTTTTCTCGACAATGGAAACGGTTCCGTCAGGATGTTCTGGCGCGACGCACTCAATCAGCCGTGAAATTGAAATTACATCACGTTCTCACCGTTTTTTCCCTTCTCGCGGGAATGAAAACTGAAAAGCACCGTTTTGAATTTCACTGTGTATTCTCGCGGGAGGAATGGAGTCGCAGATGCAATGTCGCACTGGTGTAATCGAGGGAGAGGACGCGGAGCACCCTGTTGATCAGGGCGCGAACTCGTCGGAGACTCCGTTGCATCCAGTTGCCCTAACGAAGGAGATTTGTTTAATTTGACACTGGGAGAATCTAGAGTTTGGCTCAACCCCGCCCATCAGTGGTTTTCCAGGGAACTCCCGTTTACGCTCTCGTGGGGAGGAGATTACCTATCCGGGACCGCACTACGTGTTTTATTGCTGTTTACACACATGCTGTTTCAACACCCACGCCGGCAGTAACTGCGCCAATATATAAACAGTGTTGCGATAATTATATCGAGACCAAACGGTTTCTCGGAACGGTCTTTTCCTCCTAGGTTGATCCTTCCTTACAATCGATGCAAAGGCTCGCACAGAGTGTTAAGAAAAAAAGAAAAGAGAGCGGAAGTCAGAACCGAAAGTTGCTTTTAACTTTCTCACAAGATCGATTTTTCGATCCATGTCAAACATTATTTAGTAACGTTTACACTCTTCTCTGTCTTAGGTCTTTTTTTAATTTAACAAGCTATATACAGTGATATATAAGTTAATTGGATATGCAAATCAGGCAAGAATGAATAACTATATTAAAATGCAAAACTCATATAATATATAGACTCTACAAATATGTACTTAATTCAACTTTTGATTATGATAATGTGATAATCGGAATCGTTTCTGAATGAATGGATAAACAGATAATTATTAACTTTTTCTCTTTCTTAAAAATTTTATCAATTTATCAGTTTATCAATTTCCTCACGTCTACGTTTCACAAAACACGACTATACGTCACATTTATTTTCTTATTTCGTTTTATTTTAATTCTATGACCATATTATCTAATTATATTCTAATGAATGTTTTACGATATTGAGAAGAATCCGTATTAGAATCAAAACGTCTATTAATGTATTGAATAAATTTATTACACGCGTATATCCTGTGTTCAGCTCTCATAGACATTATCATTCTTTGATTTAAAAATTTTATTGAAAGGACTGAATAGAATTATATCAATTACATTCGTTTAAGTATAAAATGAAAACATCAAATCAATTATTCATTTCTCGTCTCTTCATAGCGACGAGCTGTATGTACATGCATTGCTCGTCAAATCCTGCAGTATTTTCTCCTGGGCTACCGGGTTGTCCTTCGGTACCTGTGCACACATTTTTAAACAGATGTCATTCTCAGACATGTTATATTTAAGTAACATATACGTATATGAGTATTGCCAAATTATTAATCGATAAATAGAAAATAATTTAAAATAATTTTGAAAAATATTAATAATATTCGTTAAAACATTTCGGTTTGGATTGTGAATATTTTATTTTTAATTATACTACTTTAACTATAATAATGTTCACATTCATAACATCAAAAACCATTTGTAATCAAAATCTTCTTTGCATAAATTACGGAAGCAATCAAATCGACGGCGTAACATTATCTGACATCCGAATTGGCGGATGTAAGATGAACACTGCGTATGAATCTAGGATTTTCCTTGTAGTAAATTAATCCCGAGACTATCGCTTGCGACTTATAATAAATATGAAAGCTAAGGGGGAAGAGAGAAAGTGCCTTGTATGTGCGTACCATATGTCCGGCTCTGTTGACCCAATACATCCTGAAGTTGTCTTGAACCTTAAAATAGCCCTCAATGATGGATTTAACGACGAGCGAATTCCTATTTGAATTTTTCCAGGTGTCGGCGTTTTTCCATTTCAGTTTTTCGACCCAGTGAAGAGTGCCTAAAATATATACCGGGTGATTAAAAGCGTTACAAATTTTTATTTCAGAAACAAAACATTATAGAGAAAAGCATATAAAAATTTCATATAAAAATTTTGTAACTTCGAGGGGGACATGAGATGATAACATTAGTGAGTGTTGTCAAGGTCAGAGCAAGGTCACATAGAATAAGATTTCTCATTTTTATTACATATTCTCGTAGCTTATCTCAAAGCTTTCCAAAACACTATAATAAAATATTTTAATTACTCATTAAGTATTTTTTGAGTTATACTGTTTAAAAGTTTTAATACCGCCGACATTAGTATTGTCCAAGATGTCTGACCGATGACTATAAAACCTTTTGAACATTGTTCAGGATTATGACTTGGATAAAATTTGTCAAGATCAAGGTCATTGGAGAATGTTCTTTTTATTTTCAGTTTTATGTAAAAACAAGAATTAAAGAAACACATTTCAATTGGCCTTGATCTTGACAAATGTTATTGTAACCCTAACAACATTCAAGAAGTTTTAACTGTTGATCGAATACTTTAGATAATAAATGCCGGCAGTATAATACTATAATTTTCAAATTGTAACTCGAAAAGTATTTAATGAAACAATATTTTATTACAGTATTTTGAAAAGTTCGTAAGGTAAACTATGAGAATATACAATAAAAAATGGAGAATCTTATTCAAAAAATTTTACGTGACTTTTACAACGCCACCTCAAGCTCAAATCAATGATATCAATTCATGTCTTTTTCGAAATTACAAAACTTTTGTATGAAATGTTTTTCTCTCAAATGTTTTATTTTTGGGATAAAAATTTGTAACGTTTAAAAGCGAGGAAAGTGATTATTTTGAAAAATGTTTCAGACAAAAGTTGAGGATCAAGTAATGCATTACATGGGCATATACTATTGAGGAGATTTTAATCCGAAGTACTTCGAAGAGATGTAAATCCGATCGTGCGACTTCCACGCGGTAAATCTTTGGTAATGCTAACAATACTGAAACTTTGAAGTCTCATAACTCAGGAAGATTTCAACTAAAAAGAGTTTGTAACCAGTGTTTCGAAAACGCCTTGAAATAAACTACACAAATATAAAAGATATAAGTTCCCATTTAAAAAATTCAAATCGACTTTGACATGATCTTCACGCCGCCACCTAAAGTCAATCGCATATGTCCATGTAATGCATTACTAGATTTTTAACTTTTGTCTGAAATATTTTTCAAAATAATAATTTCCTTCATTTTTAAATGGAATGTACGGATGCTCTGAAACACTCAATATATATGATGTATATAAAACTTATATATAATGTAAAAATAGTATAAAAACGGTAATAAGTCGTAGTAATATGTAATATGAATTGGATGGTGATAAAGTTAAAAATAACACTAATTACTTAATCAGAAAACTGGTGATTTTATAAAAAAAAGTACGTGAAAGATAGTAAAAACACATACACGAGAACTTATGTTGTCATATCAATTACAAAATGAAAATTAATGATGTCTTTTAAGTCAGCTTAAAGCTTAGATAGTTTTTAACATAAATGTTACTAAAACGCAAAAAAAATTCATTCTATTACAAAAAAATATTTAAAGCTATTAAGTGATTTTACTTCTAAAATATTAATATCAAAATATTATCGCAGGAATAATAATAAATGATAGAACAAATTTCTTTTAATTAATATTCTTAATAATATACCGTT